GACTTTTTTCTTGGGGCTTTGAACGCCTCAGGATGCATTCAGGATCCGCACGGATTCTCCGACTTTTTTCTTAGGGGTTTGAACGCCTCAGGACGCGTTCAGGATCCGGGAGTTCTGGGACTCTCAAACGACATGTGAGTTCAGAAAATAATACGAACAGGACACAAATAACTCTTTTACACGCTCATTCCGGATTCTCCGACTTTCTTCTTGGGGCTTTGAACGCCTCAGGACCCGTTCAGGATCCCGTGTGAGTTCAGAAAATAACACGAATAGGACACAACTAACTCTTTACACGCTTGTTTTGGAATTTCCGACTTTCTTCTTTGGGCATTGAACGCCTCATGACGCGTTCAGGATCCGGGAGTTCTGGGACTCTCAAACGACGTGTGAGTTCAGAAAATAACACGAATAAGACATAAGACACAAATAACTCTTTTACACGCTCGTTCCGGATTCTCCGACTTTTTTCTTAGGGCTTTGAACGCATCAGGATGCGTTCAGGATCCGGCCGGATTCGCCGGCTTTTTTCTTTGGGCTTTGAACGCCTCAGGATGCGTGCACGAGGAAGTTTTGGGACTCTCAAACGACGTGTGAGTTCAGAAAATAACACGAAAAGCACACAAATAACTCTTTACACGTTCGTTCCGGATTCTCCGACTTTTTTCTTTGGGCTTTGAACGCCTCAGGATGCGTTCAGGATCCGGCCGGATTCTCCGACTTTTTTATTTGGGCTTTCAACGCCTCAGGATGCGTGCGACTCTCAAACGACGTGTGAGTTCAGAAAATAACACGAATAGGACACAAAAAACTCTATTAAACACGCTCATTCCGGATTCTCCGACTTTTTTCTTGGGGCTTTGAACGCCTCAGGATGCATTCAGGATCCACCCGGATTCTCCGACTTTTTTCTTAGGGGTTTGAACGCCTCAGGACGCGTTCAGGATCCGGGAGTTCTGGGACTCTCAAACGACGTGTGAGTTCAGAAAATAACACGAATAAGACACAAATAACTCTTTACACGCTCGTTCCGGAATTTCCGACTTTTTTCTTTGGGCTTTGAACGCCTCAGGATGCGTTCAGGATCCGGCCGGCTTCTCCGACTTTTTTCTTCGGGCTTTGAACGCCTCAGGATGCGTTCAGGATCCGGGAGTTCTGAGACTCTCAAACGACGTGTGAGTTCAGAAAATAATACGAATAGGACACAAATAACTCTTTTACACGCTTGTTCCGGATTCTCTGACTTTTTTCTTTGGGCTTTGAACGCCTCAGGATGCGTGCGACTCTCAAACGACGTGTGAGTTCAGAAAATAATACGAATAAGACACAAATAACTCTTTTACACACTCATTCCGGATTCTCCGACTTTCTTCTTGGGGCTTTGAACGCCTCAGGACGCGTTCAGGATCCCGTGTGAGTTCAGAAAATAACACGAAAAGGACACAACTAACTCTTTACACGCTTGTTCTGGAATTTCCGACTTTCTTCTTTGGGCTTTGAACGCCTCAGGATGCGTTCAGGATCCGGCCGGATTCTCCGACTTTTTTCTTTGGGCTTTGAACGCCTCAGGACGCGTTCAGGATCCCGTGTGAGTTCAGAAAATAACACGAAAAGCACACAAATAACTCTTTTACACGTTCATTCCGGAATTCCCGACTTTTTTCCTTGGGCTTTGAACGCCTCATGATGCGTTCAGGATCCGGGAGTCCGCGGAGTCGGATCGCTCGTCGTAGTCCTCCTCCGGGGAGTAGAGGCCCGGTTTGGGCCCCAGTGGGCAGCCCTCCTCCGGGGGCTCCTCCGGGGGGTTCCTGGAGGTGAGGACCGGGGCACCGGGCCCTGGGGGGGTCGCGGGGCCGAAGGGAGACGCGTACTGGGCGGCCGACCGCAGCTGGAACTGCCGCTGCTGCAGGGCCACGGAGCTCCAGAGGGCCACGTCCCCGGGAGAGAACGGGCCGGGCTGCGCATGCGCTAAAGAGCTGCGCAGCACGAGCGGGTAGCGCGTGGGCTGCGGGGAGGAGAGAGAGATGTATAAGGTTATAAGGTATATAAGGTATATAAGTATAACTTAAGTATTGCAAGTAGATGCTGGGACCCCCAGCGGCAGCATCTTAATTCTTTTTTTTTTTTTTAAGTATTAAATTAATAAAAAATATAAAAATAAAAGTATTAAACTAATCAAAAATATGTAGTGGAGTAAAATTATTAAATGAATCAAAAATATAAAAGTGAAATTATTAAATGAATCAAAATGATAAAAGTAAAAGTATCAAATTAATCAAAAATATGAAAATAAAATTAGTAAATGAATCAAAAATATAAAAATAAAAGTATTAAATTAATCGAAAATATGTAGTAGAGTAAAAAGGTGCTTAAACACAGTATTAAGTAGTACTACTGGGTACTTTACATCTCTGGAGCTATTTAAACACAGTAATTAAGTAGTACTATACATTTACATAAAAAATATGTAGTGGAGTAAAAGTAAAAGTATTAAATTAATAAAAAAGATGTAGTTCAATAAAAGTATTAAATTAATCAAAAATATCTAGTGTAGTAAAAGTAAAATTATAAATTAATTAAAAAATCCAAAAGTAAAAGTATTAAATTAATCAAAAATATAAAAATAAAAGTATTAAATTAATAAAAAATATAAAAATAAAAGTATTAAACTAATCAAAATTATATAGTAGAGTAAAAATAAAAGTAGGTAACAAAAACTAAATCCTCCAATAAAGTACGGATACTGCATTTAGCTACTTAAACACAGTAATTAAACACATTATTAAGTAGTACTTGGGTTCCTTACATCTCTGGAGCTAATTAAACACAGTACTTAAACACAGTATTAAGTAGTACTAAACATACTAATTAAACACAGTATTAAGTAGTACTAAACACAGTAATTAAACACA